GTATGTATGTATGATGTGTGTTTACATTTGTGTGTGCACGTGAATATACATGTTTTGAAGTGTCCGTTTATGAATGTTGTTGGGTGTAAGTGTTCTGTTTGTGATACAGAGTGCCTATCTGTAAAACTCTTTTCAAATATAGAGGTATTATTATAGACGCCAAGATGTATTATGTAGCGAATCTTACAACGAGCGTAGGAGGGTAGGATCGCCACCGACATATACACACCATCGAAAAAGACGTCCGATTCACTGGCTTGGAAGGGATTCGAGGCATCGAGCTCTGCCTTCATAGTACGAGATAGCACGGGAGTGGGCATGGGATTACCGGCCCCCAAATCAGGGGTGACCCAGTAATTATGATTGGTACTCCCGTCCATTTTGTTCACTGGCACTCACTCCCTTCGATAGTGTACGGGAGTTCGCAGAGTGTGTTCGTATTTTGGCGTTTGACGTGGTGGCGAGAGCTTACGACATACGATAAGAATCTGTGTTGATATTTCAGTGCAGAACAGAGAGTTGGAGTGGACCACTATCTGTAATTATATTGTATTCAATGAGCGCTTATGTAGTAGTATAATTATGCGTGTATACAGGATCTATATCAAAGCAAGTGGCGAGAACGAGATGGTCTCCGACTCGCTAATAATAATGATCACCCTCACGGAGCCACATAGAGCCTGAAAGGGAAGGACTTGGAAGCCAGGGATAGGAACTAGAGGAAGGCTCGTCTACTACTCTACTGGACTGGGAGTCTGGGAGTGGTGGACGACTGAAGAGTGAAGGCCAGACTCTCAGTCTCAAAGTCCGGACTCTCTCTCTAATTCTTGTGTGTAGACTGTGGACTGTGAGTTGTGCCCTATTGAACATTGAAGTTTACCAAAAAAAAAAATAGCAACTCAGCGGCTTTTTTAACTCCGCAAGAAAAAGTGCCATTAATTGGCAGGTATTTATAGATATATCTATATAGATATATCTATATATATATAGATTTCCCATACTACCACTCTATTTTTAGTATTTATTTATTTATTATTCTTTTTCTTTAGATTGCTGCATATTTAGCCTTCTAATTCTATCAAACAATTGTTGCCGTGAAACCTCATTGTGACGAGCCGGAGCCCTGAGGGCTGAGCCGGCGGCTGTGACTTTTTATATTTTTTAATTTTTACTTTTTGTTTTTGTTTTTTTTGTAATAATGTATATATAAAAAAGATATAAAAACCAAAAAAGTGTCGTGACTCGTGTCAGTGAACCACACACAATCGCACACTACGTCTGCAACGCAGTGAATACCACAACCGAACATAAATAGTAAATAGGAACAGTCAAATTGCCATTTATAGAAACAGCGGAAAACCAATTTTGTTGTTGGATTTACGCTTTGTACGGAACTCGGAATGGCCGCCGCGGTATGGGCCAACGAGGTCTGGATAAAAAAACGGGTTGAAATCAATCGTTTGCGTTAAAATTTTATACTTTTTAATAGTACTGCTTGATTGGTGGCAGTTTAACGTTTTTAAGCGTTATCAGTTTTGCATTCACGTTAAATGTTTACTGCATGCGTGTAAAGCGAATTTTGACGTTACGCGTGGGGTGTGGCATTGTGACGGCGTCACCACTCACCACCCGTCGAAATATTTAAATGATTTTATCCCTACGCCGTACTCGCAATTGTTGTGTGGTGTGCCCTATCATGTTCACCCTTCAGTGCCTTCACCCTGTATCCATTTTGTCCTATATCCTGTTTATGCATCCAATAGTTCAGTATTAACTGCTCTTCATTGTGATGCTTGGTGTGTCGCAACTGGCCAGTGAGCTGCTATGTCCGTATGTCGAAATCCTTGAGCTGGTTTATGTATATTTTCAGAATGTCTAACATTTGCAATCCTTTTACTATCCTTTACTTTAGATTAGTACTCTCTTCCAAATCCATAGTCACTTTAAAATTCACTGTCATGTAAATTGTTAAACAAAGCACTTTAATAGTGCGTAATAAACTAAATCCGATTTTGCTACTGAAGGCAAACATCCGGATCGTCGCTATAAATACTACTTAAGGTCAAAATGTACGAACTCGGAGAGCTCGACACCTGAATTGATATATATATATATATCATATATATATATATCATATTTATTAAATATATATATATATATATAAATATATATATATTTATGTGTGTGTGTGTCTACACATGTATATGTATACATACATATATATATATATATATATATTATGTAGATTCAAGTATTTTTATTAATATATATTTCTCCATGTATACATATATATATATATATATATATGTGTGTGTGTGTGTATATATATACATATATATATGTATAAATATATATATACATATATATATGTATAAATATATATATACATATATATATATGTATAAATATATATAGACATATATATATGTATAAATATATATATACATATATATATGTATAAATATATATGCCCCTCCTCCCACGCGCACACACGCATATATATACATGTAATCGATATATATATAAATATATATATATATATATATATATCGATTACATGTATATATATGCTTGTGTGCGCGTGGGAGGAGGGGCAAATATATATTCATCGAAAACATATATGTATCTAGACCGACATACCGATATCTGAAATCTGTATATCTATATTCATATGAATAAAGACAGCCAAACATACACGCATATGTACAAAACAACACGAGCTACACCTTTGAAATCGTGTTGGTTTGCATGGCTCTTTATTGTCCGGCTTGTTTCATGTGTCGAGAACTGATGCGTGGACCGCGACTTAATTGCAAAAGCAGAGATACTCGAAGGCTATGCTTGGAATATTCCGGAAGGTTTGGAAACGATTACCTGCGAATGCGTACTGTTACATAACGCTATCGTCGAACTCGGTTATGTAAATAAATATTGGAATCACACCCTGAAAATTCCGCAGTAAAAGATTGCTTTTTACATACTGTCTCTGTATCCCTGGGAATATGTGGTTGAAAGCCAGGCTCAACATAAGCGCAGGCTAGTGTCTCCTAGAAAATTCTTCCAGGCCTCTCTCCACAGAAAGTGAAATGACTGTTTGAGATTATCGAAGTGCAGCCTATCAAGACAGTTCGCTGTTGACACCCATAACCGACAAGTATTCAACTCGTCTCCTCTGCAACGCTTAGTAGGAACCATATTCCCAACATGGGTTATAGATCAAATGACCACCGTTGAACAAAGATTCTTATCGATTAACACCCGATATGCCCTTGGCATCTGCATGGAAATGGACATATGCGCGATCGCTCCAATGCATTGGATGTTCGAAGGCCAATCCACGAGACACGCCATCAAGGAACGCAGAAGCGATCATCAGCATATTCACCAACTCCACGCAATAGCTACACGTCGAGACCAGGGGACCATAGCTTTTCCATCCATAAAGATCTCTGAGCTGCACTCAACTTGCATTTTGGGTCTCTGCGTGACCGAACTTTCATGGAGAAGCCGCCGGAACTTGCAACATGATTGCCTATCACCATTTATTTCTATGAAAGTGTGTTGCTTCCAGTCATTGTCAACCAACCAAAATACCAGAGCAACCTTCAACGTGTGTGCCCGACACACTTATTTGTGTGTTGCTTTTTATCATTCTTCACCAACCATACTTCAAACCAAACCATCCTATAAATGGAGCATCATCCTGTCTCCAGGGAATTTGGCAGCCTTGTACACATTCGCGCTCATGCGAAAACTTAAATATATATTTACAGTGCTGTCCATGGTTATTTCCGCTTCCTGCCTTTTGCGCCATTCCGTGCACCACCTTTTCCGCTGGGTTTGGGGCCCCGCTTTACAGCTGAGGGTTGAGCGAAAAGATCTTTATTCACCTTGAGGACACCAGCTTTAAACGAGCCAACACCCGCGTGTATATCCAATCCCTTGTCATCGTCATTTCTCTCGACTTTCTCTTTGGGCTTCTTCACGTACATGCCCAACAGCTTCAATGCAGTCTCCGCTTTCACCGCACGTTCTTTGGCTTTCTTATTCATCCCCGTCTTGATGATTAATGGAACCTTTTGATTCTTGGGAGCCTAGTATTTAACGAGTAAAAACATAAAATGAGGACATTTTAACGTGATTGTGATGAGACGATTGAAATTCGGCATATGTATAACTATCCAGCTAAGCAATAGAATGTAACTATCACCATTCTGAAAAAAACATTTAAACGCAGAATGGCTACATACGTTTCCTCCTAATCTAATGATTTCTTTCGCTTCGTATTGCTTCTTTGCTCTTCCCATCAAGGCCGACGCTCCTGTTGAGTACGGAAATCAGGAACATCAATATGTATAAAAAATAACAAAAATTGCAGCAAAAACGCCAACAACCAAGACCTGTCCAATCGTCACTGGTACTTTCATCGGCAAAACCAGTGTCCCACAAAACTAGCCATGACTAGAAGACAGCCACAAAGCTTGCCATGACTAGAAGACATAGCCACAAAGCTAGCCATGACTAGAGGACATAGCTAGCAAGGCCTTATAAATTTATAAAATACAAACACAAACACAAACACAAACACCAATACCACTACAAAAACTAACACCAATGAAAATACAAATACTATATATATATATATATATAACTATATATACATAAATATGTATAAATATTTATATATACGTATATAAAATAATATAATATATATTTATATATATATATATAGATATAGATATAGATATAGATATATACATAATAGTATATATATATATATATATCTGTATTAATGTATGTAAGTATATATATATATATCTATCTATCTATATATGTGTGTATTTATATAAACATGGATATATATACATATACATAT